TGGATGGTGATGGCAAGAATCTTTGTTAAAGTAAATTAGTGATGAAACTCCCTTTTCCATGAATCAATAATAGCCTAAATCTATACAGGATCCATGAAGATGAAGATACAGAAAAAACGTAGCATAATGTCAACCAATCGTAATCGGCTGATATTGGCAAAAAATAGGTTGATTGGTGATCTCTATGAAGTCTATATATGTTATTCTGATTATCGGAAGCATTATTTTCTTTACTAACTTTAACTTTGGCTCCTTCCTCAATGACCCGACCCAGCACTGTCTGATGGTCAAACGACACAAGGTTACACGCTGGTAAAGGTGGGGATATTTTGATTACTTTATACTGCTGGGTAGATTCATCTATAATAATTCATAATCAATTATTTTCAATCAAATACATTCAGTGGATTTAACAGTTCAAGACTTGTACTCAATACAAAATGTAGAGGAGAGGAAGTATAATAGCATAAAATGGAAGTACTTGAGTAAATGTACTTAGTTAGACTCAATCACTAGTTGTTCGACATTTTGAAAATAAGATTACAATTTTTACTACAAATGTAATCTGGTTCCAATTATCTGTTATCAATTTCCCTGATTACTAATAACCAGTATCTCTATCAAAACCATTAATAATTGATCCCTAATTTAAATACATTTTACTTAAATACACTTTGTACTTTACCCCTTTCTGCTAAGTTATACTGCTACATTTCAAATGGAAATATACTTTTGACTCCACTACATTGATTCAATGGCTGTAGTCAGATATTAGGATTTCATGTGCAGTAAAATAATGTCTATAATGTAATGTAATGTAAAATATGCATATGTTACATATGGTAATGAATAAAAATAATACAAAAGTATTATATATATTATCTTGCATAATTAGTACTTTTGATACTCTAAGAACACTTTGAGAACACTTTTTTCTAAAATTATATTCTGGGTCTTCTCCCTGTCCTGATTCTGAAAGCAACTCAGAAGCCAAGACCCCTGTTTCCCAACCTACTGTGTTTTACTAAACATGCTGTGACAGCTTCTCAGCATGTGATACTAGTTTCACAATAATGAACCCAGTCAGCATGTCCAACACCCACACTGTCAGTGTCACTGTCAGCCTGCCATAAAGACGTGTCTGTCAGCTCCATATACCGTATGCCACCTGCGTGTTGCAAGGTGGGCCACTGATGCAGGTGGAGCCCATGCGAGCAGTGATTTTCAGGACCTCTTTTTGTGACGTTGTGTGGGCTAATAACTGGGCCATTAAGGGGTACAAATTGGGCCCTTATGTTCCATGTTTGTTGTTATATGTGTTGTTGAAAATGTAGGTTAGTGCACACTAGCATGACCCACATGGGGCCTGCACAGAGCAAATGGATGGACACATTTTTATGCCAGCATATCACTAACCCATGCTGGGCCCACATGGACATGTTGGCTTAGATTTTTCCAGGAGGTATGTGTGTTTGTCTGGCTTCTCTGATCGAGTCATACACAGAGTAGATTTTACCCGTATATACAAAATGATTTTCTCACCTGTCTCTGATGTAACTTATGAGTGCCGTGGCTTCTTCTCTGTCTAGAAGTGAAGTGGTGTCTGCCTCTAAAGGGGAGCACTGGCAGGCAGCACCCAAGGCCTTAGCAAACTCCATTAAGTTCTCCACCAGAGCCATCTGTTTGTCTGGAATATAAAGCACAAGTTAAAGCTGTGATTCTGATATATTTGACAGGGTATTGTATGTAGTTATGTTAGTTTACTAGCTTTCTGCATTGTGGTGACACATCTTACATTGACTGAAATATGAAAGGAAAGGGACGCCTGGACTATCTGCTGCAATCTATCACGTAACCCATTCATTTATGAGCTAATATCTGTGTAAACAGACTGTGAATTTCCCCTTGGGGATG